TTGGCCATGGTAGGAAGCATATCTACATATTGAGCAGAGCTCTTCATATGGGTTTCTAGGGGAACGAAAGATCTTGGTGGGCTTCTTTTGGAACATCTGGTTGGCCATGGTAGGAAGCATATCTACATATTGAGTAGAGCTCTTCATATGGGTTTCTAGGGGAACGAAAGATCTTGGTGGGCTTCTTTTGGAACATCTGGTTGGCCATGGTAGGAAGCATATCTACATATTGAGCAGAGCTCTTCATATGGGTTTCTAGGGGAACGAAAGATCTTGGTGGGCTTCTTTTGGAACATCTGGTTGGCCATGGTAGGAAGCATATCTACATATTGAGCAGAGCTCTTCATATGGGTTTCTAGGGGAACGAAAGATCTTGGTGGGCTTCTTTTGGAACATCTGGTTGGCCATGGTAGGAAGCATATCTACATATTGAGTAGAGCTCTTCATATGGGTTTCTAGGGGAATGAAAGATCTTGGTGGGCTTCTTTTGGAACATCTGGTTGCCCATGGTAGGAAGCATATCTACATATTTAGCAGAGCTCTTCATATGGGTTTCTAGGGGAATGAAAGATCTTGGTGGGCTTCTTTTGGAACATCTGGTTGGCCATGGTAGGAAGCATATCTACATATTGAGCAGAGCTCTTCATATGGGTTTCTAGGGGAACGAAAGATCTTGGTGGGCTTCTTTTGGAACATCTGGTTGGCCATGGTAGGAAGCATATCTACATATTGAGTAGAGCTCTTCATATGGGTTTCTAGGGGAACGAAAGATCTTGGTGGGCTTCTTTTGGAACATCTGGTTGGCCATGGTAGGAAGCATATCTACATATTTAGCAGAGCTCTTCATATGGGTTTCTAGGGGAATGAAAGATCTTGGTGGGCTTCTTTTGGAACATCTGGTTGGCCATGGTAGGAAGCATATCTACATATTGAGCAGAGCTCTTCATATGGGTTTCTAGGGGAACGAAAGATCTTGGTGGGCTTCTTTTGGAACATCTGGTTGGCCATGGTAGGAAGCATATCTACATATTGAGTAGAGCTCTTCATATGGGTTTCTAGGGGAACGAAAGATCTTGGTGGGCTTCTTTTGGAACATCTGGTTGGCCATGGTAGGAAGCATATCTACATATTGAGCAGAGCTCTTCATATGGGTTTCTAGGGGAACGAAAGATCTTGGTGGGCTTCTTTTGGAACATCTGGTTGCCCATGGTAGGAAGCATATCTACATATTTAGCAGAGTTCTTCATATGGGTTTCTAGCTGAGCAGATCGATTGTGATGGGTAATTCAAGTCACCATAATCCATTCAAAAAAGCATCTGCCTCTACGACCCACCTTGAAATCTAAGATCATCCGGGGAGGCCCTGCTCTCGCTCCCGTCAACATCGCAAATGCGTCTGGTGGGAACGAGAGACAGGGCCTTCTCGGCTGTGGCCCCCCGCCTGTGGAACATGCTTCCAAATGAGATAAGATGTAGTGGCGTTGTATCATTGCCAAGTGTAAGCTGTCCTGAGTCCCCCTTCGGGGGTAGAGAAGAGACAAGGTAGAAATACCGGAAACAAATAAATAAATTTAGATATTTTTGGAGTCCCTATTGATGTTGTGGTTCAGCCAGATGAAGATAGAATCATAGAATCAAAGAGTTGGAAGAGACCTCATGGGCCATCCAGTTCAACCCCCTGCCAAGAAGCAGGAATATTGCATTCAAATCACTCCTGACAGATGGCCATCCAGCCTCTGTTTAAAAGCTTCCAAAGAAGGAGCCTCCACCACACCACATGAAGGGTTTGTGGGTTCAGGGCCTGATGGTTCTGTAGGTGGGCAAACAGAGGGGGTTTTAGAGCAAAACGGTTCTGTAGATGAGGGAACGGAGGGGGTTTCGGAGCAAGATGCTGCTGCCGAGTCAGAGTGTAAAAGTGGAACTGTTTTGGAAACCAACAGGCAGGGAGGGGAGGATGACATTAACTCATCTGAGGGAGCAGCTGGCTTGGACAGAGATACCAGGCTGCTTCCGAGGGGGCAAAGATTGAAGTGCAGGAAAATCTGTGAGAAAGATAGTCAAAAGCAGGCCTCTCAAGGTCAAAGGAATGTGTTCATGTTTTGCAGTCCTTAAATTAGTGAGAGAGCTGTTCGGATTTTAGATCAAGCAACGTCACTACTGGAGTGAGGAACTCCTATCTCGTTCCTACTTTATGCCTTAGTTCAAGACCCAAGATCCATGCTCAAGTTATGCTCCTTGTTTTATGGATTTACCTTTGGATCCATACCTATGTTTTGCTCCTTGTTCCCTGGATTCAAGTTCATGTTTTAACCATTGTTTTCTGGATTTACCTCTTGCCTTTGGGACTTGCTTCCTTTATTAATTCTTAGATACGACGGTTGAATGAAAAGTAATGCCTCCATCTTCGTAACTCGTCAACAGATGGCAGTACTGGTATGGGGCAGGTACTGGCTTGTTCAGTAGACTCTCCTCTACAGTTCCATTTGGGTGGGAAACCTTAGCATTGAATTGTTGCATTGTTAAAGTGCAAAGTATGGGACCCGGCGCAGATTGTCAGTCAATGCTACTTAAGCAACGTGCAGTCATTGAATTCTTGACAGCAGAAGGTGTCACCCTAAAAGAGACTCATCAGAGAATGCAAGCTGTTTATGGTGATTATGTTGATGAGAGTACTGTTAGCGTTAGTGGAAGTTTTGCACAGGCTTAGTAGAAAAACATGGATTCTGGAGACGCCTGGTTACAAAGCAGGTTCAATTTACTTAGAGCAATTCCAAAACACATACATTACAGTATGCGTCCAGACATGAAGTACACAGTATTTATTTTATTTATTTATTTGCTTTATTTCTATACCGCATTTTTCAGCCCAGTCAGGCGACTCAATGCGGTTTACACAATACAGGTTATCACAACAATGTCATAAGCAATTAAAACACATCATATACAACAACAAAATCAACAACAATTATCAAAACATGTCATAACGCCTCAATGAAATCAGATCCGTTCTCATAATCCTTGTGCCATTCCTATGTTCAATTTTACCGTCTTCCTGTGTTCAGTTGCACTGTTTAGCCAAACGCTTGTTCATAAAGCCAAGTCTTAACCTTCCTCCGAAACGCCAACAACGAAGGGGCCTGTCTGATGTCTACAGGTAAGGCATTCCATAGCCGAGGAGCCACCACCGAGAAGGCCCTGTCTCTCGTCCCCTCCAGACGTGCCTGTGACGCAGGCGGGACCGCGAGCAGGGCCTCCCCGGACGATCTTAATGTCCATCGGTTCATAGGTGGAGATGCGTTCGGAGAGGTAAGTGGGGCTGGAACCGTTTAGGGCTTTATAGGCTAATGCCAGCACCTTGAATTGTGCCCGGTAGCAGATTGGCAGCCAGTGGAGCTGGCTCAACAGAGGAGTGGTATGCTCCCTGAGTGCCGCTCCCGTTAGCAACCTGGCTGCCGAGCGCTGGACCATCTGAAGCTTCTGGACAGTCTTCAAGGGCAACCCCACGTAGAGCGCGTTGCAGTAATCTATGCGGGATGTAACCAGAGCGTGGACTACCGTGGCCAGTACGCAGGACAAAGGAAGTAGAAGTGTAAAGAATTCTGCAGCTGCTTGGCAGATACCAGATACTCCCTAATTTTCTCACAACTCCAGACAGAGAGTATCTCAGGGCTACTTTCTCACAGCCTCTAACATAAACATACATCACAGCAATACAATCTTGTGGCATCCATATTTCTACTGCATGAAATTACATTTAAAACACATTACATACTTCAACATATACTGACAAGTACTGTGCATCGTTTGGCGAGTAAGTTTAAAGATGTTGAGGTGACACGTTCTGCTGTCAAGAATTTAATGACTGCACATTTAAGTCGCATTGACCGTCTGCACAGGGTTCCATACTTCGCACTTTAACAGCACAACCATTCAACGTGCAAAACTTCCGCTAACGCTAACAGTACTCTCATCAACACAATCACCATAAACAGCTTGCATTCTCTGATGAATCTCCTTTGGGGTGACACCTTCTGCTCTCAAGAATTCAATGACTGCACGTTGCTTAAGTCACACTGACCAACCGTCTGCGCAGGGTTCCATACTTTACACTTTAACAGCACAACCATTCAGTGCTAAGGCTTCCCCGCCAAAATAGAACTGTAGAGGAGAGTCTACTGAACAAGCCAGTACCTGCTGCATACCAGTGTGCCATCTGTTGAGGAGTTACGAAAGTGGATATTGACAAGCTGGAATGTGTCCAGAGGAGGGCTACTAAAATGATCAAAGGTCTGGAGAACAAGCCCTATGAGGAGCGACTTAAGAAGCTGGGCATGTTTAGCCTGAAGAAGAGAAGGATGAGAGGAGATATGATAGCCATGTATAAATATGTGAGAGGAAGCTACAGGGAGGAGGGAGCAAGCTTGTTTACTGCTTCCCTGGAGATTAAGACAAGGAACAATGGCTTCAAACTACAAGAAAGGCGATTCCATCTGAACATGAGGAAGAACTTCCTGACTGTGAGAGCCGTTCAGCAGCGGAACTCTCTGCCCCGGAGTGTGGTGGAGGCTCCTTCTTTGGAAGCTTTTAAACAGAGGCTGGATGGCCATCTGTCAGGGGTGATTTGAATGTAATATTCCTGCTTCTTGGCAGAATGGGGTTGGACTGGATGGCCCATGAGGTCTCTTCCAACTCTTTCATTCTATGATTCTATGGAGGCATTACTTTTCATTCAACCCTCGTATTTAGCCTTCCGTTTGCTTAAGGTGCCTTTGGCCCTTTTTATGTGTGTGTTTATCAGTAAACTGTTTATTACCATGTTTGGTTTCTTGGTAAGTGCTGTGAGCAAGGCGAACTCTTGATGAGGAGCAACACTTGACTATGTTGACCAGGGGTGATGATAGTGATGATCCAGTAATACATGGAGGGACATGTTTGCTCACCTAAGTTAGACTTTGGGACTTATGGGAAGAACGTCTAACAGTTCTCCTCTTTCTAAACAGGAAGTTGCCCCTCCCGCCACCCAACCCCCATCAGTTGTGGAGAGCACCTTGGAGGAGAACAAGGAGGATGAGAAGGTGGACGACCCACTGGTGGACGAGTATAACTACGGAACCCTGCCTGATGAATACTACACGCCACTTCCATATGAGGACGTCAACTATGAAGACATTGACAATTTGGATAAGTTTACCGAAGAGGGCGTTGAGGCCGAAGTCCCCACGAGCACCGTCATCACCTACAACGAAACTGATGTAATTTCTTTTTTGTATCTTCTGTCATATGGGTGGCACGGCTGCCAAAATGTATATGCCCTTAACACCTTGTAAGTGGCTGCTTAGTATGTGTTACATACATGTATTTGCAGATTTTTTAAAAAAATGTAGAATTGTACAATTGTGCAATTTCCCAATTGTGTTAATAATAATAATAATGTGTGTTATATGTATTTTAATATTGTTGTGCTTTATCATTCTGTTTTAACCCTGTTGTACCCTGCCTCAAGCCTCAAGGAGGGCAATACATTTAGTAGTAGTAGTAGTAGTAGTAGTAGTAGTAATAGTAATCTATATAAATAAAAATGTAATGTTCGTTTGTGGGATTAACATAACTCAAAAACCACTGAACGAATTGACACAACATTTGGACACAAGACACCCAACAGTCCAAGGAGTGTCCATCACCCACTAAACACAAACATGCACACACACACAGCCCCAGCAGAACAGACTTAAAAACCCCAAAACATAGACTCATACACTCATACACATATGCACATACACACATTCATACACACATGCACGTGTATATATATATATATATATATATATATATATATAAACGCACAAATACATAAATATATACACACATATATACACCCACATATATATATGCAAACACACATGTATACACAGATATACACACACACACACACACACACATATATATATACTATATCAAACACACATATATACACAAATACATATACACATATACACAATATGTAGATACACAAATATATACACACATATATACATCCACACATATATATATATATGCAAACACACATATATACACAGATATATACACACATAAAACACATATACACAGACTGGGCCACAGCAACATGTGGCAGGGAACGGCTAGTAATATATATATATAATATATGATATCACTATATATATATATATATATATATATATATATATATATATATTATATATATATATATATATATATATATATATATATATATGCACAAACACACACCAACACACATATACACACATACATATATACATATACACATGCACACACATATACGTATCACATACATACATATATTCACACAAATATGCATATAGACAAGCACACACATATACACAATATGCATGTACACATATAAACACACAAATACACAAATATATACACACACATACATATATATATGCAAACACACATATATAAACATACATGAAATTTGGACACAGCACACCTAAGAGTCCCACGAGTATCCATCACCCATAAACACACAAACACACACATACAACCCCAGCGGAACAGACTTAAAACCCCTAAAAATACGCCATATATACATAGACTCATACACATATGCACATGCACACATTCATACACACACACGTATATATATATATGCACAAACACACACAAATACACACATATACACACATGCGTACACATACATATATACATATAATATACACGCATACATACACGCACACACATATATACATATACACATGCACAAACATATACATATCACATACATATATATATACACAAATATGCATATAGACAAGCACACACTTATACACAATATGCATGTACACATATAAACACACAAATACACAAATATATACACACACATATATATATGCAAACACACATATATACACAAATATATACACACACATATATATACACACCCACGTATATATAAACACACAATATACACAATATATACATATATATATAAACTATATATATATATATATATATATATATATATATATATATATATATATAATATACACACACACATATACACACACGGTATATATTAGTATATATACCGTAAATACACAATATATACACACATAATACACCCACATATATATATGCAAACACACATGTATACACAGATATACACACACACACACACACACACACATATATATATTATATCAAGCACACATATATACACAAATACATATACACATATACACAATATGTAGATACACAAATATATACACACATATATACATCCACACATATATATATATATGCAAACACACATATATACACAGATATATACACTCAACCCTCAGGTGACTCAGGGCAGTTTATATAGCAGTTAACTGTTCTCTATATAAATAAAAATGTAATGTTTGTTTATGGGATTAACACAACTCAAAAACCACTGGACGAATTGACACCAAATTTGGACACAATACACCTATCAGGCCAACAAGTGACCAGCACTCATAAAAACACTGAAAAACACAGCAGAAGAGACTTAAAAAGCCAAAAAACCAAAAATTATATTCATTATTTTCACTAGCCTAACAGTTACAAGTCAGTGCAATAAATTCCTATATCTCATATGGGATTGTGTTTCATTTCCTTAGGCTGGAATAACAGGGAATGAAGGCGAAGATATCGACAAAGACTTCACTGTGGATACCCTGAAAGAGTACGACGACGGCTATTACGACGGAGGCTACTACGACAGGACCGACTCGCCCGACATTGGACCCGGGATGCCTGCAAACCAGGACACCATTTACGAAGGGGTAAAGAAACCTCACGAAGGCTGGACTTGAGCCACACTCATGGAATAGTGGCTTATTTATTTATTGTTATTTATTTACAGTATTTATATTCCACCCTTCTCGCCCCACAGGGGACTCAGGGCGGATTACAATGTACATATACATGGCAAACATTCAATGCCATAGACACACAACATATATAGACAGACACTCAGAGGGGCCGACCAAGGGCAAGATGGATGGATGGCATCCTTGAAGTGACTGGACTGACCTTGAAGGAGTTGGGGGTGGTGACGGCCGACAGGGAGCTCTGGCGTGGGCTGGTCCATGAGGTCACGAAGAGTCGGAGACGACTGAACGAATGAACAACAACAACAACACACAGAGGCTATTTAACATTCCAGCTTTTTCATGAGGGTATTCTGGCCACCAGGGGAGCTGTCGCTTCACCATCCACTGATGAAGTACTTCCTCATTATTTGCATGCTTGCTGGAGATTTTTATGGCGTCATAAATTTTCTAGGTGCAAAGATCACTGCAGACGCAGACTGCAGCCAGGAAATCAGGAGATGCTTACTTCTTGGGAGGAGAGCAATGTCCAATCTCAATAAAATAGTGAAGAGTAGAGACATCACACTGGCAACGAAGATCCGCCTAGTCAAAGCCATGGTATTCCCTGTAGTAACCTACGGATGTGAGAGCTGGACCTAGGGAAGGCTGAGCGAAGGAAGATAGATGCTTTTGAGCTGTGGTGTTGGAGGAAAGTTCTGAGAGTGCCTTGGACTGTGAAAGATCCAACCAGTCCATCCTCCAGGAAATAAAGCCCGACTGCTCACTGGAGGGAAGGATACTAGAGACAAAGTTGAAGTACTTTGGCCACATCATGAGAAGAAAGGAAAGCTTAGAGAAGACAATGATGCTGGGGAAAACGGAAGGAAAAAGGAAGAGGGGCCGACCAAGGGCAAGATGGATGGATGGTATCCTTGAAGTGACTGGATTGACCTTGAAGGAGCTGGGGGTGGTGACGGCCGATAGGGAGCTCTGGCATGGGCTGTTCCATGAGGTCACGAAGAGTTGGAAGCAACTGAACGAATGAACAACGACATTGAGACAAATTAATTGGGGAAGTTGGATTCATTCAAGATCCTTCACAGGTCAAAGGGATTAAGTCAAAGGATCAAATGTCTTGATCTTGTTGTTTATTTGTTTAGTGCTTCTGACTCTTCGTAACCCCATCCTTGACTGGATTGTCCTTGAAGGAGCTGGGGGTGGTGACGGCCGACAGGGAGCTCTGGCATGGGCTGGTCCATGAGGTCACGAAGAGTTGGAAGCAACTGAACGAATGAACAACATTGAGACAAATTAATTGGGGAAGTTGGATTCATTCAAGATCCTTCACAGGTCAAAGGGATTAAGTCAAAGGATCAAATGTCTTGATCTTGTTGTTGTTTATTTGTTTAGTGCTTCTGACTCTTCATCACCCCATCCTTGAACTGACTGGATTGTCCTTGAAGGAGCTGGGGGTGGTGACGGCCAACAGGGAGCTCTGGCATGGGCTGGTCCATGAGGTCACGAAGAGTCGAAAACAACTGAACAAATGAACAACAAATTAGCCTCTCCGCATAAGTGGTACCTAAATTTCCTACTTGACAGACGCAACAGTCTTTCAGACTGCAAAGGTCGACAGAAAGCTACACAAATTGGTCGGAAGCTCACTCCAAACTGGGCTGGCATTGAACTCATGAGTTCAATGCAGCTGACTCCCAACCAGCTGCGCCACAGTCCCGGTGCTCGAAAACAAATGGCTTGGTATTAGTGTATTGGTTTCTCATCACACAGAGAACTTTGACAGCAGCAGATCTGAAAAGATGCCCATGGGTACCTTCTCCAGACAATCCTCTAGGACAGATTTTTATGGGAGCTGGGAAGGAGAGGGAAAATTCACCAAGATCCAGGCCATTGGCAGAAGGAACAGGTGAATTCCCTTCATTGGGTTGGTTCCCACATTTGGTTGGGTGGATAGATAGATGCCCAAACAGACATAAAGACCCATTGTTTGAGCCGAACATGCCCAATATCTCATTTTACACATGGAATGTTTTGCTTACGCAACGTTCTATTCACTGCGCATGCCGTTCAGTTTCAATTAGTTGAGCAAACGAGGCGGACTTTGTCGGCTGCTTCTAATTCGCGTTTCCCTTGTCCGTTGCAGATTGGCGGGCCACGAGGTGAAAAGGGACAGAAAGGGGAGCCAGCGATCATTGAACCGGTAAGAACCCGAATCATGGCATGTGCGCCTGCACAAAACAATGCCAGGCATAAAGGTTTACTTTGATACCAGTATCAACTTTCTTCCATATATTTAACAAGTCTTTGAATAATATATACGGAATTAGTATGTATTTTCCGCCTTTCTCACCCCAAAAGGGCAAACATTCAATGCCAATTATACAATGACAAGACAGACAACAATACATAGATAGAGGTATGGTATATGGAGTTTCCCATCTTCGGCATCTAGGAGGCTGTGCATCACGATGCCAAGGCTCTGCCTTATTCAGGTAGAGATGAACCAAACAAACACCCAGTTTGTATCAACTTACCGCCTGAGCTCTGTGAGTGCAGCTTTTTTTCCGAATGAAGCAGAGAGTGTTTGAGGACTGGGACATCAGTAGGGATACCAAGGTGCTTGTTTATAAAGCTATTGTCCTTCCAACTCTCCTATATGTTTGTGAGACGTGGACTGTCTACAGATGTCACATGCAACTCTTGGAACGATTCCATCAGCGCTGCCTCCAAAAAATCCTGCAAATCTTTTGGGAAGGCAAGTGGACAAACGTCAGCGTGCTGGAAAAAGCAAAGACCACCAGCATTGAAGCGATGGTCTTCCGCCACCAACTCCACTGGATCGTCCACGTTGTCCATATTTATTTATTTACAGTATTTATATTCTGCCTTTCTCACCCCGAAGGGGACTAAGGGCAGATCACAGATCACATATATAGCCAATTATGCAATGACAAGACAGACAACAGTACATAGATAGAGGTATGGTAGATGGGGTTTCCCATCTTCAGCATCTAGGAGGCTGTGTGTCACAATGCCAAGGCTCTGCTTTATTCAGGTAGAGATGAACCAAACAAACACCCAGTTTGTATCAACAGTTTAATTAAAACAGCACTTACTTTCTGGCTGTTTTAATAGTCCAAAATATAAAATATAAAAATAACACTCAGCCCCAGAATATAAAACAAAAACTGACAGCAAACACTGTTGCAGATTCAAAATAACACCATAGTCGAAAGGTCCAATTCGGTGGTCAAACGCTGAAAGTTCAATGAGCAAAGTCCCAGGATCAAGAGTCTATATCGTAGTCCAAAGCCAGTCCAAAGATTCAATGTTCCAGGGTTCCAAGGGTTCAGGAGACAGGTCAGGATACCGAAAATCCACAAACCTGGGGGAAAACCAGCAGCATCTACTACCAAAATGAAACAAATACCTTTCTCCTAAAGATCAGTCCCAAGGCTCACTCATTATATGCAGAAACACCCAGCTGCAACCCATCTCTTGCATATATCCACCCTTAATTGCTTTCACCCATGAAATCTTACTTATAGATTACTCAACCCTTTAGAACTAAGACTTATATTAACCCTTCCATCACCAACTGCTAGGCCTACCACCACCAACCACCTTACTTACTTAGGCGATCCCTCGTAGTCCGAGGATGAGGGTCCTCCAAGTTCGGTGTCCTGGGGGTGGGTTCGTAGGTGGCTGTTGAGCCCTATTCTTGCTCTGCATCCTCTCCCACAGTGAGGGCATTGGTTTCCAGGTGGGAGGCGGTCTCGGTTGGGGTTGGCTTGATGCGCCTTCCTCTTGGCACGTTTCTCTCTTTCACCCTCCATTCGTGCCATCTCCCAAAGCAAAGACCACCAGCATTGAAGCAATGGTCCTCCGCCATCAACTCCACTGGACCGGCCACATTGTCTGGATGCCCGACCACCATCTCCCAAAGCAGTTGCTCTACTCCGAACTCAAGAACGGAAAAAGGAGTGTTGGTGGGCAGGAAAAGAGATTTAAAGATGGGCTCGAAGCCAACCTTAAAAACTCTGGCATAGACACTGAGAACTGGGAAGCCCTGGCCCTTGAGTACTCCAGCTGGAGGTCAGCTGTGACCAGCAGTGCTGTAGAATTTGAAGAGGCATGAATAGAGAGAGAAATGTGCCAAGAGGAAGGTGTGTCAAGCCAACCATGAGTGGGACTGCCTTCCATCTGGAAACCAATGCTCCCACTGCGGAAGAACATGGAGGTCAAGAATAGGGCTCCACAGTCACCTACGGACCCACCCTGGAAGACTATCCTACTCGGACAACGAAGGATCGCCTGAGTAAGTAATAGGAAAAGAGGAATGCCTCATTATTGGTGATTGGTTCAACAGTTCAACCTCAGCTCAAACACACACATTTCATGAGGAGATGTCTCTCCTCCCTTCGCCAGTCTTTCCAGATGTGTCAGCACCCTTTTTACAGCTGTGGAAGCTTTGACCGACCCCTCCTTCATCTTTTTTTAATTCCTTCTCATTCTAAGACTCGGTGCATGCCAATGACCCAATTAACCCACTTCTGCTTGGCACGGCTGCCAAGGGCACAGCACTTGGTCTGAAATCAGGAGGGTCAAGATTTTTTGACCATTTCCTTGCAACGAAATCCAGCTGTTCTTGCTTCCCAAGGAGTCTCCTCCCATTCGGCCCTCCCTCCCGCCCACTCCGAAATCCAAAACTCTCTCTTTCTCTGTACGTGGGCGTATAAGTCTAAGAGTAGGGCAGACTCCGAAATCTGGTCCGATTCTGCTCGGACGCTTGCATAAATGTCTTTTTTCTGTGAGACGTTCAGGGAGAGAACAAAACACCGCTTAGCTTAATCATCCCCAAAGAATCTGACAGGCCCAGCGGTGAGCACCATGCCAGACCTCCGATCAGTTGCCAGGAGGTAAACAAGACCAAATGCGTCCTTTTTTTTCCTCCCCCTTCTGCCTCCCTGTTTTGGAGGAAAAAGTACACAGAGCTGCTGGAAGAACCAGCCTTACATTACATGCAAATCGGAATATTTGCTCCAAGTTCGAGCTTGGCCATAGTCTTACCCTTCCTTCCATGATTGTTTCCCTCTGATACAAAGGCATCCTCAGAGGTTATGAGGCATTATCCGAGGTGGTGAGGCATCCTCCTAGCTTGTGAGGCATCCTCCGAGCTTGTGAGGCATCCTCCAAGCTTGTGAGGCATTCTCCGAGCTTGTGAGGCATCCTCTGAGCTTGTGAGGCATCCTATGAGGTTGTGAGGCACCCTCAGAGGTTGTGAGGCACCCTCAGAGGTTGTGAGGCACCCTCAGAGGTTGGGAGGCATCCCCAGAGGTTGGGAGGCATCCTCCGAGGTTGGGAGGCATCCTCCGAGGTTGGGAGGCATCCTCCGAGGTTGGGAGGCATTCTCCAAGGTGGTGAGGCACCCTCCGAGGTTGGGAGGCACCCTCAGATGTTGTGAGGCATCCTCCGAAGTTATGAGGCATCCTCAGAGGTTGTGAAGCATCCTCCGAGGTTGCGAGGCATCCTCAGAGATTGTGATGCATCCTATGAGGTTATGAAGCACCCTCAGAGGTTGTGATGCACCCTCCGAGGTTGTGAGCCATCCTCCGAGGTTGTGAAGCATCCTCCGAGGTTGTGAGGCATCCTCAGAGGTTGTGAGGCATGCCCAGAGGTTGTGAGGCACCCTCAGAAGTTGTGAGGGGCACTCAACGGTTGTGAGGCATCCTCAGAGGTTGCGAGGCATCCTCAGAGGTTGCGAGGCATCCTCCGAGGTTGCGAGGCATCCTCAGAGGTTGAGAGGCATCCTCCGAGGTTGCGAGGCATACTCAGAGGTTGCGAGGCATCCTCCAAGGTTGTGAAGCATCCTCCAAAGTTATGAGGCATCCTCCGAGGTTGTGAGGCATCCTCTGAGGTTGTGAGACATCCTCAGAGGTTGTGAGGCATCCTCCAAGGTTGTGAGGCATCCTCCAAGGTTGAGAGTCATCCTCCGAGGTTGTGAGGAATTCCCCGAAGTTGTGAGACTTCCTCAGAGGTTATGAGGCATCCTCAGATGTTGTGAGGCATCCTTCGAAGTTATGGGGCATCCTCTGAGGTTGTGAGGCACCCTCCGAGGTTGTGAGGCATCCTCCGAGGTTGTGAGGCACCCTCTGAGGTTGTGAGGCCGCCTCCGAGGTTGTGAGGCATCCTCCGAGGTTGTGAAGCATCCTCCGAGGTTGTGAGGCATCCTCAGAGGTTGTGAGGCACCCTCAGAGTTTGAGAGGCATCCTTCAAGGTTGTGAGGCATCCTTCAAGGTTGTGAGGCATCCTCCGAGGTTGTGAGGCCGCCTCCGAGGTTGTGAGGCATCCCTAGAGGTTGTGAGGCACCCTCCGAGGTTGTTAGGCACACTCAGAGGTTGTGAAGCATCCTCCGAAGTTGTGAGGCATCCTTCAAGGCTGTGAGGCATCCTCCGAGGTTGTGAGGCATCCTCAGAAGTTGTGAGGCATCCTCCGAGGTTGTGAGGCATCCTCAGATGTTGTGAGGCATCCTCCGAAGTTATGAGGCATCCTCCGAGGTTGTGAGGCATCCCCCAAGGTTGTGAGGTGTCCTCAGAGGTTGTGAGGCATCCTCCGAGGATTGAGCCTTTGCAGAACAATGTTGCTATCCTGCACACTATAGCAGTGAGTGGGGTTAGTGATGTGTCCCCAGAGTGGTGACATCATCTTCTGACTGAGTGATGTCATAGGTTTGCACCTATGATGGTTCTTTGATCCAAATAGTGCTTTGATTCCCAACATCTCCATTAGGTTGCTGTGAGTTTTCTGGGCTGTATGGCCACGTTCCAGAAGCATTGTCTCATGATGTTTTGTCCACATCTATGGCAGGCAAGGCATCCTCAGAGGTTGTGAGCTCTGAAGATGCCTGTCATAGATATAGACAAAGCATCAGGAGCTAATGCTTCAGGAACATGGCCATACAGCCCAGAAAACTCACAGCAACCCATTGATTCTGGCCATGAAAGTCTTCGACAACACATCTCCATTAGGGTTGGTCACAAAGTTGGAAGAGATTCAGCATTTGCAGAACGATGTTGCTACCCTGCGCACTATAGGATCCTGACCCCTGAATATTTTGCCCCTGTCTGGGAGTTCTAGCTCTACCCATCCCTGCATCAAAGGAAATATGATTTGACTCGTTCTTCTCTATTTGGAGTGGAACGACATGGACAGAAGATGGTAATGGGATGGTGGTTTCTGCGAAGAGCATCCACTACGATGTTGTGGCTCAATGTTATGGAATCCTGGGAGGTGTAGTTCAACAACTTCTTGACCCTGCTCAGTTCAAGAGTGCTGGTGCCTCACAGAACTACAGCTCCCAGAATCCCATAACATGGAGCCAGGGCAGTGAAAGTGGTGTCAAACTGGATCAATTCACCAAAGTCTGACATCACCTCTAAGCATGCTTTGTGGTGGCATCTAAGTGTGCTTTATGGTGACATCTCAGCATGCTCCTCACTTGCGTAACTCCAACAGTTGGCCTCCACTTCAACCCTGACCCATGGGGGGAATCAACCCCCCATTGCGGATGGTGTAATTCGACCTCCAAACTGGCTCTGGTCCAGGCGCGTCCCTGACTGAATGGAAATGAGATTTTTTTAATAAGTCAGATCCGGCACGTCGCATCCCACAGGTCTCTTGTGGGATGCGACGTGGAAATGTGAGCTCATCCTTCCTCCCAGTGCCTCCTGCAGCTCTGAAATGCCGAGATCCTTGAGCGTAAATGATTATGCAAGATCGATTTCTTTAAGCTACTTCAGATGCAAGTGGTATCAAACTGGTAAACGAGTGCCGTACGGAACCACCCTATAGGGCCATAGGAACAAAGGAAATTATGGAAACTCATCCACATGGTGCAGTTCTTAGAATCAACAGAACCTGATTTTCCTCAACGAAACACTTTGGTTTTGAGCTTTTGAGATGATTGATCAAATCCTCAACTATATTAATATATTTTCCTCCTCCTCTCATTCTTTTTCAGGGGATGCTCATAGAAGGCCCGTCAGGCCCAGAAGGTCCAGCAGTAAGTAGAAGTTGTCTAGATGTCTCTTTATGCCTCCTTTCTTCTTGTTAGCACAAAATAAGGCTCTCCCCGCCCCATCAAACTGGACCAGTTCTGCAGAAAACAGCTGTGTCCCTGAGTTCAATTACTTCCATATGATGGCCCTGGATCTCCAAACCATCCAAGGTCAATTTTTCCCATGCTTAAGTAAACAGATCCTTTGCATACTTTTGCTCTTCGGGATGAATGTAAGTTTACACACACCACTTCCTTTTTGTCATGTAGCTAATGCATTCTTCTTTTCTTTCTCCATGGCAGGGTCTTCCAGGTCCTCCAGGAACAACCGGGCCAACAGGCCCAATAGGAGATCCCGGAGAAAGGGTGAGCTTTCATGCAGTTTGGGAAATTGGGGGAACTGGAAGCTTGGGGATAGAAATCCACTTGAGTGTAAGCCTTCCTTCCTGCCACCAGTTGGTTTCTGTCCTGTCTACTTTGGTTCAAATATTCATCCTCTGGTCATATGGGAGAAATTGGCACTCATGGTGGCATCTAAACATGCCTTATGGTGGCATCTAAACATGCTTTATGGTGACATAAGTGCATGTCTGATGGTGGCATCTCTGCATGCTTTATGGTGACACCTCTGCATGCTTTATGGTGAGATCTAAGCATGCTTTATGGTGACATCTAAGCATACTTTATGGTGGTATCTAAGCATGCTTTATGGTGGCATTTAAGCATTCTTTCTCCAGGTGGGGATAATCTCAGTGAAGGTTGATATACAACTTACTGACAGTGGCACAAGTAGACTTTGGGGAGAGGTATTACTCCCCAAATCCTTGAGGTTATAGGAAGTTGCTTAGATCTCAAGAGTATTTCATGGCCGGCATTGAAGATGCCGATCAGCAGAGGAAAGAGGAATGGCTCATGTTTGTGTGGCTACTAATCCTGATTGTTGTTGGTCATGTGGGTACCCTATTCAGATATCACAAATGTAACAAGTGCTGGCCAAGCATTTGGATGAAGCCAAGCCAGACATGGTGACAATACAGAGAAAGTGATAGCCCAATTGCACCAGTACAGACCTGGTCCATTTGGACAATGGCCAACTATGAGTGATGGTGACACAGAGAAGGTAATAGTCCAATGGACCATCATAGTTCTGATCCATGTAGAAGTGACACAACACAGAGAAAGTAATAGTCCTGTTGGGCAATACAGTCTTGGTCCTGGACAATGGCCAACTAAGAGTGACAGTGACACAGAGAAGGTAGTAGTCCAATGGACCGACATAGTCCTGGTCCATGTAGAAGTGACACAACATAGAGAAAGTAATCGTTCATCTGGACAATGGCCAACTAGGAGTGACGGTGACACAGAGAAGGTAGTAGTCCAATGGACTGACATAGTCCTGGTCCATGTAGAAGTGACACAACACAGAGAAAGTAATAGTCCATCCAGACAATGGCCAACTAGAAGTGGCGATGACACAGAGAAGGTAGTAGTCCAAATGACTGACATAGTCCTGGTCCATGTAGTGACACAACATAGAGAAAGTAATAGTCCATGTGGACAATGGCCAACTAGGAGTGATGGTGACACAGAGAAGGTAGTAGTCCAATGGACTGACATAATCCTGGTCCATGTAGAAGTGACAAAACACAGAGAAAGTAATAGTCCATCTGGGCAATGGTCAACTAAGAGTGACGGTGACACAAAGAAGGTAGTAGTCCAATGGACTGACATAGTCCTGGTCCATATAGAATGTCCAACTGGAAGTGACGGTGACACAGAGTAGGTAGTAGTCCAATGACTGACATAGTCCTGGTCCATGTTGAAGTGACACAACACAGAGAAAGTAATAGTCCATCTGGACAATGGCCAACTAGAAGTGATGGTGACTCAGAGAAGGTAGTAGTCCAATGGACCGACATAGTCCGGGTCCATGTAGAATGGCCAACTAGAAGTGATGGTGACACAGACAAGGTAATAGTCCAATGGACTGACATAGTCCTGGTCCATGTAGAAGTGACACAACACAGAGAAAGTAATAGTCCAGTTGGGCAATACAGTCCTGGTCTATCTGGACAATGGTCAACTAGGAATGACACTGAGAAGGTGATAGACCAATGTAGCCAATACAATCCCAGTTCCTCTGAACCAGTGGTTCTCATCCTGTAGGTCCCCAGGTGTTATGGCCTAGACCTTTCAGAAATCCCACCAATTTACCAGCTGTTAGGGTTTCTGGAAGTTGAACGCCAAAACATCTAAGGACCGACAGGTTGAGAACCACTGTTCTAGACAATGGTTCTCGGTTCAGCATGTACTTACTGAATCTGAAGCTATTCTAGGCCACATTTATACCAGATAACCTGCTTGATGTAAACATGACCTTAGTCAGTGGGGAAAAAGAAGGGAGTCCCAACCTCTGGAATCCCATACATAGATATGATATTGACGTATGTATCTGGGCACCACGAACAGGATACTACATTCCCCAATTTCCTCAAAAGGGATGCCTTCAAGACAAGTAACACTTGGATTTCATGAGATCCAATGCTTTTTTTAACCAGGAGAAGTTCTGCAATTCCAAGGGATTTATTTATTTGTCGTGTCAGGACAACCAGTCAATGATATTACATTTCTAACAGAACAAAGCAAACAAACAGACAAAATACAAATTTTGTGAGTTTGGTAGTTGATTAAATGTCCTTTGACCAGTATCTGGCCACTTGGAGTGCTTCTGCTGTTGCCGCAAGAAGGTCCTCCATCGTGCATGTGGCAGGGCTCAGGTTGCATTGCAGCAGGTGGTCAGTGGTTTGCTCTTCTCCACACTCGCATGTCGTGGATTCCACTTTGTGCCCCATTTCTTAAGTTGGCTCTGCATCTCGTGGTGCCAGAGCGCAGTCTGTTCAGCGCCTTCCAAGTCGCCCAGTCTTCTGTGTGCCCAGGGGGGAGTCTCTCATTGGTATCAGCCATTGGTTGAGGTTCTGGGTTTGAGCCTGCCACTTTTGGACTCTCGCTTGCTGAAGTGTTCCAGCGAGTGTCTCTGTAGATCTTAGAAAACTATTCTAGATTTAAGTCGTTGACGTGCTGGCTGATACCCAAACAAGGGATGAGCTGGAGATGTCTCTGCCTTGGTCCTTTCACTATTGGCTGCTACTTCCCGGCGGATGTCAGGTGGTGCAATACCGGCTAACAGTGTAATTTCTCCAGTGGTGTAGGGCGCAGACACCCTGTGATAATGCGGCATGTCTCATTAAGAGCCACATCCACTGTTTTAGTGTGGTGAGATGTGTTCCACACTGGGCATGCATACTCAGCAGCAGAGTAGCACAGCGCAAGGGCAGATGTCTTCACTGTGTCTGGTTGTGATCCCCAGGTTGTGCCAGTCAGCTTTCGTATGATATTGTTTCTGGCACCCACTTTTTACTTGATGTTCAGGCAGTGCTTCTTGTAGGTCAGAGCACGGTCCAGAGTGACTCCCAGGTATTTGGGTGCACTGCAATGCTCCAGTGGGATTCCTTCCCAGGTGATCCTCAGAGCTCGGGATGCTGGCCTGTTCTTGATATGAAAGGCACATGGCTGTGTTTTAGATGGGTTGGGGATCAGCTGGTTTTCCCTGTAATAGGCAGTAAGAGCACCTAGAACATTTAATTCCAAGGGAGAGAAAAGGGCATTCAAATACCAGCTGTAGAACTAGCCGTCCTTCTAAATGAATGCCGAAAAAAGACTTTTGGACCAATGACTGGATGCATAAAATATATCCGTTTTGTGTTTTGGAGACAGGGCATGTGTGAGGTTATTTCGAGCAGGGATAAATTTCCTGGATTGGTTTCTCAAGAGCGTATAATACATTTACCAGAGCGAGGGGAAAATGTCGCGTTCCCGAATCTCGATGTACGACGTGTTGCTTTCCGAGCTCCGTCCAACACAAAGGAGGCGCTTCCTTTGCAATCCCGCTCTTAACCGGCAGAAGTAGCTCCGAAAAGGTTTCCTGATATTGTTTTAATCATTCTTTGTGCTCAGCTTGGATGCTCTTTCTTTCTTTTCTGGCCGTGTTCCTGTTTGGACAGCATAAGCCAATCTGGATTCTTGTGTTATACTTCCTAAACCCCGGGGACATGCCCTCGGATCTCTCCCCGTTCGGAAAGAGCGGAGTGTGAAAAATCAAAAATGTCAAGCTAGATTAAGTCCTTTGTTGGAAGTGAGGAAAACAGAGGAGACGCAAAAGATGTCTCTCGTATAAGTTAACCAACTGTAGCGGAGTAAATCTCCCAGTATTAGGGTATAAATCTTTGTTTGTTTTGCTCTTACGCACAACGGCGATGGCGAAATAGGAAAGGTTTTCTCCCTGTTGATTGAAATTGGAGAGGTTTTGCCTATTTGTCTCCATTTCCACCCATTTTGGGATTTTCTGCGAAATTTTCGTTTGTGCGAAAAAAAACCCCACAATATTGTGTATAAAATGCACTGTTTGGAAATATACATTGTACATTGGGATGTCTTCCAGCAGTCACCATCTGTTATAGAACTCCAGTATGCTGATGACAACATCGTCTGTGCACTATTTGTCTCCATTTCCACACATTTTGGGATTTTCTGCGAAATTTTCGTTTGTGCGAAAAAAACCCCACAATATTTTGCATAAAATGCACTGTTTGGAAATATATATTGTACATTGGGATATCTTCCAGCAGTCACCGTCTGTTATAGAACTCCAGTATGCTGATGACAACGTCGTCTGTGCGCATTCAGAAGAAGACCTACAAGCCACTCTAAACACCTTCGCAGAAGCATACGAGAAGCTTGGCCTGTCATTGAACATCGAGAAAACCAAAGTGCTCTTTCGGCAATCACCAGCCAATCCCTCTACAAAACCAAGGTCACAGCAACATCTGTTATAGAACTACAATATGCTGATGATAATGTCGTCTGTGCGTATTCAGAAGAAGACCTACAAGCCACTCTAAACACCTTCAGAAGCATACGAGAAGCTCGGCTTGTCATTGAACATCGAGAAAACCAAAGTGCTCTTTCAGCAGTCACCAGCCAACCACTCTCCAATGCCAGAAATACAGCTTAATGGTATAACATTAGAAAATGTGGATCATTTCCACTCTCTTGGCAGCCACCTCTCTACCAAAGTCAACATCGACACCGAAATACAACACCGCCTGAGCTCTGCGAGTGCAGCATTTTTCCCGAATGAAGCAGAGAGTGTTTGAGGACCGGGACATCCGTAGGGATACCAAGGTGCTTGTTTATAAAGCTATTGTCCTCCCAACCCTGCTATATGCCTGCGAAACGTGGACTGTCTACAGACATCAACATTGACACTGAAATGCAACATTGCCTGAGCTCTGTGAGTGCAGCATTTT